TTCCTTTTCCCTCCCCCTTAAGTATGGACATCTTTTCTTAAGCTTTTACAATAATGGTCTTAGGTCAACTGATTTTTGACAAGGCTTTCAAGACCATTCAATGGGGAATAAATTGTCTTTCAAGAAATGGTGTTGGCTGACTGGAGCGGAGTCTGACGCATGGCGATCTCACGTGTCAGAATAGAACTGCTCCAAGGGGTTTTCTTGGCTGTAATCTTTATGGAAACAATCACCAGGTCTTTCTTCTGCCGTGCTGCTGGGTGGGTGGGAACCATCAATCTTAAAGTTAGCAGTTGAGTACAGAGAGACCTTCTATCCCTTCCAAAAGGAGGGTCTAAAATTAATCCTATAGGTGGGTGCCAGAAATGGTCTGGGGTTTCAATTAGGAAAATGTGATGCTTTAAAATGCTTTAATTTGACTTGTATTTTCCAATCTAAAAAATAATTTTAAGGCATCTGGCAATAGGTAAATAGGTGGAAGATTAATTTTCCAACTCCTAGTGTGATGCTGTAGCACTAGACTGCAAACCACAGGGTCAGTGGTTCAAGTCCAGCAGCTGCTCCTCAGAAACCCTGTACAGGGTCGCTGAGTCAGAACAGACTTGATGGCACTCAACAAAAACCCCATCACTATTTGAAACAATAATAAAATGAGAACGGCAAATGGGCAATAAACATTTGAAAACTTTAAAAAGTCCAGCCTCACTAATAAGATTAATACAAGGTACCAATTTTTCCTTATCAGATAGGGAAGTATTTCTTTTTAAAAATTCTTTACAGTGTGGGAGAAGATTTAATAAAACAGTTGCTGGTGGAAGTACAAATTGTTACATTATTTCAAAGAGTGATGAGAAATTTTGTTTATTTTTTTCAATGTGTATATCCTATTAACTCAGCTATTCCTCTTTTATGAATTTATCATAATAAAATGATTCAACAAATACCAAATACAAAAAAAAAAAAAAATGGTGTTGGGTTAACTGGAGAGGCGAATGAAGCTAGATCCTTACTTCACCATATAAATAACTGATTCAAAGTGGATCAAAGGGTGAAATGTTAAGACCTGAAACTATAATGCTTCTAGAAGAAAATAAAGGAGTGAATCTTCATGATCTTGGATCTGGCAAAGTCTTCTCAGGCATGATAATAAAGGGGTGAGCAATAACAAAACTAGATAAATTTGAAGTCATCAAATTAAAAAACTCTGTGCTTCAAAGGACAGGATGAAAAAAGTTGAGAAGACAGCCTCACTGGCTAGTGATTGGTCCTAAGAGAGGTGAGGAACTGTCCTCTCCCTCATTCAGAATAGCTGAGAGGCAGGACTTCTGCTGAGGTCAGTCCCTCAGGAAGTAGGGGGTCTCATCCTATTTCTAATCCTTTTCCCCTGACCCACTAACTCACAATCCAGATCAGCAGTTTCTAGAATACTGGTTCTACCAGATACAATGACAAGATGAGCTTCCTGATAAAAAAAAAAACAAAAAACTTACTTACAAAATGCTACATACTACCCCTTGTCCCACCTCCCCTTCGCGATTCACAAGGCATGTTGGCATATGGAAGGCTCTGAGATGCCCTGCGATATAGAATCCTGCTTGTATTTCTTGAATCGTTTGACTTTGGACCCTTCTCTTCACCACATCTGGAGCCCAATGTTCCATGAAACACAAATGGGAAAGTGCTGCTCCAGGAACTTGCTCAGCACCTTCTCCCCCATTCTCCTCTGTTTTCCTGTTTGCAACTCAGAGCCCATCTCTGGTTTCTTCTGGGTTTGGTGTTCTTTCTAACAGTTTGGAAGCATCATCTGATCATTTGGTCTGTGTGCTCTCTTTGAAGGATCATAATGAAAGCCTGAGGCTCTAGCTTCATGAAGTACCTCTTCCATTCAAGACACCAACTCCCCCATCTGCTCCTTCTGACATGGGAGCTATTCATCTGAGTTTCTAATCACGGAACTATGGGCCAGGGCTTCAGGTCCACATACGAACCTAGGAAAACCAAGTTTATCTGGACTGCAGAAACTAAGATCACTGGCTTTAATACTTCAACCTACTTAGGGGTGCACTGGGCTCTGACACAATGCGAAGAGGTGGTCCTGGTCAGTGAAGGGAGCAGTGTCTGTCTCAAGGACTTGGGACCTGCAATCCTTTTAAGATGATCAACAGCACGTGGAAATAGGCTCAATGTCATTAGTCATCATTAATTGCTATTAAGCCAATTCCAACTCTTCTGGCATTCCCTGGTACTTTTAATATTCTCATCCAACACCACAATTCAAAGGCATCAATTCTTCAATGGTCTTCCTTATTCACTGTCCAAACACACATATGAGGCAACTGGAAATACCATGGCTTAGGTCAGGCGCGCCTTAGTCCTCAAACTGGGATCTCTGCTCCTGACTGACTCATAGTGACCGTGTATATAGGGTTTCCGAGGCTGTACATCTGTAAGGCAGCAGACAGCCTCATCTTTCTCCCCAAAAGTGTTTGGTGGGTTTGAACTGCCAACCTTGGGGTTAACAGTCCAGTGCTTATTCCACAACCTTGTCGGGGTTCCAAAAGAACCAAATGGTTCGGATAGATGCCTAATTGGAAGACCAATCTGATTTTGCAAGAAAAAAAAAAAAAAGCTAAAAGTAGAGCTTGTCCCTAAAAAAAAAAAATTCCTGAACAGTGTCCTCTTGACTCTGACTGCAGAGGTGGGCTAGGGGATGTACTGTCCACTGTCCAGCTCCAAACACTGGGGCCACATGCTGCCATTAGTTCTTAAATGCTCTGCCATCCTCAGACTCCTCTGAGCCCACTCGACTCCTACAAGGGAAGGCCCCCACTGACAGGCCCGGGCCTCAGCTCGCGGGTTTGGGATGGAATTGAACTATGGATGACAAGAGTCAGTAGTAATAAGGACCATATGCCAATGTAAGTAATTTTCTTCTTCACTTTTTAAAGAATAGAGCATTTGCAGGGTCCTGAAGTAGTATCCAGGCATACTTCGTGGCACTTCACATTTTTGTCAGTACCATTTCTCCAACAGCAGACGCCCCACTTTGTACCTCTGGGTTCTGTTCATGCTCATAGCATTTCAAACATTTCCATGAGTTACTATACACGTCACAGACTACAGTCTAGCATCAACATGACATTTATACACACTGGGAAACCAAATCATTCCTGTGACTCTCTTGCCTGTGGTTTTGACTTGATTGTAGTGGTCACTGGAACTGAACTTGCAACCTCTCCGAGTTCTGCCTGCAAAATGAAAAGCAAAAGGATCCCGGACTCCCCAGCCCTCCTCCCCAGATGTGACCAGGGTTGATTCCTATGGAAACATGGACATTTTGTTTCTAAAATGTTTATTATGGACAGAATAGGGAAGTTACACTGAATATGTGCGTTTCTCGCAAAGGCGGACCCTTTCAGAGCCTGCAGAGCTCCAATCTGACCCAGAGGCTAAATTCAGGTCCCAACTGTATTAGTGGAAAATGTTCTGGAAATACAGTATGGAATTTAGATCTAAACAGATTCAACCTTTACAGAAAAACCTAACCTAGTTCAGACTTTACACTGCATTTCCCTTCATTTCTCTCCATCCATGACAAAAAAGACAATTCAAGACTTACCACACAGCACAAGCTAGGAGCCCGTGAAATCAATTTATTAACTAGCTTAAGCCCCAAGTCCATTCGGAGAAAGCACACATTACACTTTCGGTGACATGATACCCTGACACCAGCACAAATACATCGACAAGTGATGTCAAGTTCACAATCCTGTGAGCTTCCAAATTGAAGAGGGAGAGACAGACATAATCCAGTTGTTTCTAAGCAGTGAGGGGACCTGAAATAACCTCGGAGTTGCAAGGGAGAGCAGTAATCCAATTAGCAGTGGCATGGAAAATCTGTAATCTTACAACAAAAGGAGTGCCAATGGAGAAAATCAATACTTCTGGGCACTTTCTTCCTCTAGTAGGGAAGAGAGCAAAATGGAAATCAGTGTTAGCAAACTTCCCAGGCTCTAGGGCACCCCAGGCTTAGAGCTCCTTAACTTTCCCAAGCCTGAACAGTAACAAGCCCTTCACATGGTAATCATCCCAATATTTTCAATTTACTAACTGATGCAAGCCTGTGCCCACCAGCATATTAGAATGCTTCTCAGTCAACCTCTAGGTCTTCCACATTCTGTCTATGAAAGGGCTCCACAATGCACCCATAGGCTTGTGTACAGAGGGTACGCCCACAGTACACCTGGGCAAGAGCTGCTCCCTGCTCAGGGCCCCTGTCTGGAGGAAACAGTACTACCAGCACTGCACCCAGGAGCTCGGGGCCACCAGCCTTCAGTCTCACGTGGCTCTCCTCAGCTGGCAAGAACTGGGGCCCAGACAGCTAACATTCCACAGGGAGCCGTGCTAGCAAGCGACCAGGGGCCTGTCACCCTGAGGAAGGGCTGGTCAAGCCGTCTCTTCTTATCTCTGCTGCTTTTCAAGAGGCGATTGCTCTGCACAGCTCATTGTAACCTAGGGCAGCTGTGTGCTTTTAAGAGTCTCATCAGCTCAAATCCTAGCAGAGTTCCGAACCCCCACCTGGGACACGGGAAGGTCCTAGGGAAGCAGATGAAACATATTAGGACACAGCCCATTAGAGGAAACACAAGTCTTACAGGCTGTATCCGGGACCTCCATACACTGCGGCCATGGCCATGGCAGACAGCTTGTTAGCAAGGAGGGTCTGCAGTCATTGTCACCGTTGACTCTGTCCCCTGTTGAGTTCTGCCCTGACCACCTCATCCGGACTTCACTGGGCTGCTTGCTGCTCCCTGGGGCATGACTTTGACTTTTCCTTTTCAGCTTTTTTTTTTTGAGAAAGACAAATTTTGGGGAATTACTCAACTAACCTAGAACTCAGGACTATAGGGATAGAGGGCAAAACGAAGCAAACAGTCCTGTTGACATCTGGGAACTGGCACTTTTTAGCTCGGTGCTGCCAGCTGGCTGGCCACACTCTTCTAGGCTGGGTCCTCTTGGTCCATGGCTTCGTCGTCAGCGCCTTTTGGGGGCTCGGGCTCAGCAGGCAGGATGCTGGTGACGGTGTGGAGGAGAGCCTCAATCTGCTCCTCTGTCAGCCGTTCTTCACTCTCTTCCACTATCTGCAGAAGACAAGGAGACCTCCAGGACCTCAGGAGCCACTCAGCCCTGGTCCAGCCCCACCGGGTGTTCACGGCCTGCTGCCTGCACACAGGGCCTGGCCCCTGAACCACTTGGGTCCCCACAGGAGGGGAAGGCCTGCTCACATCCTGGGGTGAGCCCATGTGATTGCTCCTAATGGGTAGTGACAAAAGCAGCTGCAGGGGGACACATGCAGGGAGCCCCGGGGCTCCTGGGCCCATCCACAGACACAGGTGAACATGTTGTAGCCACAAAGCAACGCTGCCTCAGGGAGAAACAGCCTCTCAAACACTCTGGTCATCCACAGCAAGCCCAGGTGTAAGTAACTTCATAAACGAGATCCTTCCTGTGTCCACAATGTGCCGGGGATTGCATCTCCCCCATTCTCTGACCCCCACCTCTGATAACAGCCCCTAGGGAGGGCTTGTCACCACTTTACATCTGTACCTTCTTTAACTCTTAGAACCACCCTAAGAAGGGGCAGAGTGGGAGCCCACTCACCCCACATGGCCCTGCGCACCTCCTGGGACAGAGACGAGAGTTGTGTAAGGAGCCAGGGCTTCGAGACCACCGGGCCCTGATGCGGCTCTTCTCTGAACACACCAGCAAGCAGGGGCTGGGCTCTTAGTCTCAACTCTGTCTAGTCATGAACTTAAACAAGTAAATCTACTGTCAAACCTGTGAAAGTCGGAAATGGTAAGATGGAAACTATCAGAGAAGGAAAACAAATACTTTCCACAAAAATGAATGGCAGTTCATAATACAAACTTAAAATAAATTTAAAAAAATAAATGAACAGCAGGTAAGTAGTATGAATGAACCCTGTCTCAGACAGAAAACTTACAAGACCCGGAAAACCAAGGCATTTGAGTTCTGGCTCTCACAGACCTCCCTATGTATACATACCCACCACGTCTTTAAAGCAGTCTGCAGGCAGATTACTTAACCATGTCCCCAGGGTAGTCTGATCCACAAATCACAACACCTTCCTCATATAACAGTGTCTGGATTGACTCTATGGCATCCCCTACAGCAATCTGGCAGTTGGTGGGCTTCCACAAAGTGTGTGGCAAGGTGGCAGGTTAGACCTCAGTCGACCTCCCTGCTGTGCAGACAATGGTACCGAGGTTCCAGAAGTCAGGCGACATGCCCAGGATCTTCCATTGATCCCAGTCCACAAGGCCATGCCTAGAGAGGAATTCTGCTGAGTGCTTTAAGGAGGGGAAGACCCTGAGAGAACCAATGGGGACTACGACCCATCACACTGTGAAATAACACGACCATTTCTACAGATTCAGTGGCTCTGTAAAACATGACTTATATACTGAACAAGAAACAATCTTTCAACACCTGCATCTTTAGTCAGACACACAAAATCCAAGTCTATGAAAGTAGCGGTCTACCACAGAGTGAAGGAGGAGGAGGGAGGAGGGGATTGTGGTCACGTATCAGGCTGCTAACCGCAAAGTAAGCAGTTCGAAACTAACGGCTGTTCCGCGGGAGAAAGATGAGGCTTTCTGCTCCCATAAAGATTTACATCCTTGGAAACCCTGTACAGGGTCGCTATGAGTCGGAACCGGCTCCACGGTACGTAACTACCATCCAGAGAAAGATGATATCCACTGGAGAAAACAGTGTCTCCAAGTCTGTACACAATCTGCACATGCAGCTGCTGCAGAAACGACCATTGTATTTGCGTAAAGCACGAAAAGCTCGCACAGTGTATCGTAACCCAAGCAATTCCCTTGGACAACTCATCTCCTCAGTGCAGTGAGCTCACCACATGCGCGTGCGCGTATTCATGGACCTGCAGCATGTGACAGCATTTGATGCTTCCTGCCAGAAGGGAGAGGTGAGGAGGTTAACAGTGACAAACCCCACAGCTCAGCACAGACCTTTCCAGAACCCTACCAGCAGAGCTTCTTCAGACCCCACACACAGAGACAGAACCATCTCCAGATGAGACTGTGGAGGCTCAAAGAGCCCTGATGGCACAGTGGCTAAAGCGCTCATCCAACGGAAAAGTTGGTGGTTCAACCCATGGAGGCAGTTTACTCCTGTAAAGACTTACAGCCTCGGAAGCACTATGGAGCAGTTCTGCTCCATCTGCAGGGCTGCCCGACAGCCGGCAGGTTTGGATGTGGAGAACAGCGCTACAGGGAAACCTGGGCTGGCTCTCATGGCAAGGAGGAGTGGGGAGTTTTGAGTAACTTCTTCATAAAGAAACGACACCTGCACAAGGGCAAACATGGTCTGTATGATCACACTTCTGCGAAATAACTGTCCAGAAACCAAAGAATACTACTGGTGACCGGGGCCGGAGGGAGAGGAATGGGGAGTTTAGGGTTAGGGGTCAGAATGTTTGGGAACAAGGTCAGGACAACGGCCGCACAACTGGAAGGACGTCACCGATGTCAGTGAACTGTCCGTGTAGAAACTTCTGTTGGTTCTGGTTCTCTTCACCCCCAGCTCCTGCTAAAACATCATGGCCTCCAGCAGGAGGTGCCCATCCCTTCCTCTGTGAGTCCCTTGGCTTCTGTGACCTTTAAAGCAGACAGAAAAGGTGTGAAGACCCTTTCAGGCTGTTTCTCTGCCTCCCGTTCTCTGCTGGGCATCTACTACATTGATCTGGGGTCCCAGCAACAATGAGCTTTCGAATTTCGCCCACCTCACTGCTGAGAGACATCTGATCAACACTCAATCCTCAGGGTTAACTACAGCCAGAACCTTTTTCTCCTCAACCTAAGCTTTCCAGTTATAGGAAGAAACCCTAATAAGCTTTCTTTAGCTATATGAAATGCACATAATGAAGAAATTTCCAGAAACCCAATGCTTCCTACCCTTACCTAATGGATCATGGGAGTAAATGGCCATAAAGACACTGTGCCTCCTCCCTCACCTTTTCACACCCAACAGAGGAGAAACAAAAGCCAAACAAAGGACACCCACCGCACCAACCCAATGGCTCACAGATGCTATACGCTTCCAGCTGCTCAGTACGTAAGGACAAATGAAATGAGAAAAACGTCCAATGTATTTGCAGGTGGGTCAGTATACCCCCCCAAAAGCAAAGCCACTGCTGCTGGGTCAGTTCCGAGTCATGGTGACCGTATTGGGCAGAGGAGAACTGCTCTGTAATCGTCATTACAGACGTCGACTGCCTCATCTTTTGCCGGCAGAAAGGCTGGTGGGTAGGAAATGCTGACCTTCTGGGCAGCAGACCAGTATTTAACCCACTGCACCCACCACCAGGATTCCTTGGGTCAACAAGGATGAGAATATTTTATCTTGCACAAAGACTATACCAGCGCCCCCAGAGAATGACAGAGGCGCTGCTGTTCTCCAGAACTGACTGGTTGTCATCTGAAGCTGCAAGCCTAACATCCTACTTTCCCCGAAACAACTTACAACCTAAAGCGCAGTAACCACAAACACATCTGTCTGACACTGCGCAGTTCACTCAACACCAATACTCTCATGTGCAGAATCAAAGCCACGCGGACCAACCACGGAGAGCAAATGAGAAGAAATCTGACAGCGTTTTTATGGTCCTTCCTGTTTGTTTAATGTCAAGTTGCTTCCAACTCTTAGCAACGGTATAGAGTTTCCAAGGAGCAGCTGGTGTTTGAACAGCCAACCAGTGCTGTGGTATGCAGACCAGTGCTGATTCTACAACACCACACCAGGAGTCCTCAGACTCTCTTAAGGGAACACAGTGGCTCTACAGGATATGCACTGGACTGCTAACTATCCATTTCTCAGGAGAAAGATAAGCTTTCCTGCTCCCACAAAGATTTACAGCCTCAGAAATCCTATACAAGGTCATTATGACTTGGAACCGACTTGACGGAAGTGAACACCAAGTCAGAGGCCATCACCAGGCCAGATGAGAACACCACATGGCACGTCAGATGCCAAGATGCTGGGCACCAGCTTCATTTCCTCTCAGACCCTCCCAGCCAGCACACAGTCACCAGATGGGTCTGTGAACCTGAGATCACAATAGAGCCCCACTGGAGTGTTAACTGATGCTTCAGCCTCCAAAAGGGACCTGTCTCCCAATGGAATCCTCACCAGTGGTGGCTGCTGGGATCACCTCCAGGACCCGGGGAGAAGAAATGGCGCCATGATGAACCCGGGGAAAATTCTTAAATCCTCTTCACTCTGAAGAATGAGCCTTATTTCTCACTCCTCTTCTGGTGCAGAGGGGCAGTGCTACAGGCCTTGCATAGTCCAGTCCCCGATGGGAAACATCTGGCTATACAATGGCCAACTGCTCAGAAATAACCCACCCCAGAGCTTCTCAAGGCCTGGAGAGGAGAGAAGAGCCTGAGGGAAGGCCCCCACACCTCCTCCTTCTCTCCACATGGAACAAAAGGGATTGGAGGAACACAGAAAGGTTTCTGCAGCACACAGGCCCTACCCAGTCACTTCCACATCAGCCATACCTGCTCCCCTTTGAGGTAACAAGGGCTCACAGAGGGTAACACACCTAATGCCCAGCACCCCACGGGGCACAGAGGCCAAGAGGCGGCAGCCTACCAGCAGCTGTGGGATGAGGTCACGCAAAGCATCCATCTGTCAGGAAGCCACAACAGCATATGCTGCTGATTAAAGTCGGAGGAGACAAGGCATGTGATCCTGAGCCCAGAGGATGAGGGTTCCTTTCCAGCTGTTTTGTTTGCTTTCACCCCCCTCCGAGGTGAATCTCCAGCAAGGTCTGCAGCATCAGAATAGTGAAGGGACAAGGAAGGGCCTCTCGTTAATTTCCAGCCCACTTCCCCCAAAAAGGCCCTCTTTATGGGAAGACATTCTGATCTGCTTTGGGGTGCATTCTCAGGGGCAGAAACAACTCTGGGAAGATAGTGACCATTTTCATCAAAAGAGAACTGTCCTATGCCCTTTCCGTAAGGGACAATTCTTCAACAAGCGACTCTAAAGCTCTTGTATTGTAGGTATTTTGGGCAACGCTCTTCCATAT